AACATCCGATGTGACAGGGACTTGTAATAAGTCGCTGGAAACCAAACAGCCCCTAACACGAGAGCTAACCAACAATTGGCACAGATAGGTAGATTGAAATTGAATAAGCCCACCACGAACTCCTCTTCGTTCAGATCATCTCTATGCATGTGGTTGTCAAGTGGCACTACTTAATTAGTAGTATCACTTTTGGCCCTACACATATATTTCTATTCAGTTTTTGATATTTTTTCGTCTGCATTTGCCGGATTCTCCACACCGTCTCTGTGTCTGCAAAAATTTGCTCAGGAAACAAGCTATAAATTCAGACAGCGTTTCTACAGAAGTTCAGAGAAGTATATACTATACTATACCAGTAGTAAACTTCAGTTAGCTATAAATACAGACAGAATTTCTGCAGAAGTTCAGAGAAGTATGTGCAATATAAACTTCAGTAAGCTTATTTTTTGAAAATTAGAGAGAGAGTGAGAGAGACTTCGGTTGTTTATAAACACCGACAACAATTCTGTGCAAGTTCAGAAAAGTATATACTCCCACTATTACTATATTCCTTCGTTATGCAGTAGTATATACTATGCATTCTATTACTAGTCAATGTGGTGCTACGATATGAGATGAGAAGAGAAGAAAAGAGAGCATGCATAAACAAGGGGCAGCTAGGTCGATGCTCGAGGATTATTGCAGTTTGTTCCGTGGATCTTGTGTGCATGTGGTCCATGCCCTGCTATCATACATGTCCTCTTCCAATACATGATGATGAGCTAAAGTATTCTTAATACCGTAGGGCTGTAGGTGTGCCATTTTCTTTTCCTTGCAATGAGTTGGCTTCTCAACTCTGATCTGTAGCCAAGCCCATATACTTCCTCCGTACTCTAATATAAGAAATTTTGATATTTTATCATTCGTCTTATTCAAAAATTTTAAAATTATTATTTATTTTATTTGTGACTTACTTTATTATCTAAAGTATTTTAAGCACAACTTTTCGTTTTTTATATTTGCGTAATTTTTTTAATAATACGAGTGGTCAAACAGTATAAGTAAAATATCAAAATCTCTAATATTAGAGGACGGAGGGAGCATTTGTTTGTTTTGAAAACAGCATGCAGGAATGCAGAACAGGGAACAGTAATGATGTTGCTGCATGCTGCTGAATGAGAAGATGGATGGGCCAAATGCTATCAGTGGCCCATGCCGACAAGCCCAACATGGGCCTTCAGATTGTGCCATTGATTTTTCATGTTTAGCAAATCCACACATATAAGAGATAATCCAAAGATGCTATTGACAAACGTCCAAATACAAGAAATACCATCGACAAGTGTCAGTTCTAAGAAATACCATCGTAGAAATGATTTTATCCCAAAAATGCCATCACCGTTAGGGTTGCGTACATTCCGTGTTATTAAGTCCAAAAGTTTTTCCAAAAATCTAAATCATATTTAGTCACTATGTGCTATATTAAATTTTTGAAAGAGCCCAAGAAGTCATTTTAGTACTTATTGGTTGCATGTTCATTGGTTTCGTCATATGATGGATGAATTAATTACTCATTGGTCTTGGTGTAAAAAGAAATAGGTCTTAAACTTTTGAATGGAGGGAGTATAGGATGAACAGTGTATTTAACGACGCGGAATGAACGGAACCCTAACAACGAGGAGAAAATCGTTTGTATGATGGTATTTCTTGGAACTCACACTTATCAATGACATTTCTTGGATTTGGAAGCTTGTCGATAGCATTTCTTAGATTATCTCTACATATAATATCATTTCCACGAGCAGCTGACAGGCTTATTGTATTATGTACATACGAATTAATATACGATGATGATTTATTTATTTATAAAAGGCTTTGTCCCAGCTTTACATAACATGGGATAATGATTAATATGTGACGATGGATACAATTTAGCACACCCTATATCTTAACTAATTTAAAAATGCGTAACTTTCCGATCGTCACATCTTTTTGTCTGCGTTTTCGTCCGTCATCGCGCTAATTTTTCGTGATGACGCATGCATGTTTGGATATAGAAATCCACCAGGATAGGGGGCATGGGCCCCCAGCACACCCATGTTGGATTCGCTCCTGATCATGCAATTGATCACGTGCACTTGTAGTTTCATCAACATGTAACCGTCATCTCTCTATCGTTTGTGTTATGAGTTTCTCATAATCCAATATTTTTTGCCGGACACATAAGTAGTGCTTGAAGGGCCTTGGGCATCAGCACTCCAATTGGCATTGACTTCCAACATTGACTTCCACTATGACGGGTCGGGATGCCACGCCTCCTTCAACTTGATCTCCTTGTATATAACCACTCGTACATGGACGTCGATTGTGATGACGGGGCTCGTGACCTTCTAGTAGAAATCCTGCTTACTATGTAGGGTAGTCATCCAACGCCAAACCGCCATTGTTCTCGATGTAGAAAAATGCACTGATCTCCTAGTTGCGTTGCACTCCTCGTATTGCAGTCCACGAACTGTTGCACCGACAATGACACCAACTTGTTCGTCCTAAGAGAGTTGACGCTCTCTACTCACCATTGCATGGCTCCTTGTGTCACAGTACACGAGCTACTACACCGACAATGACACCAACTTGTTCGTCCTAAGAGAGTTGACATGCCAATCAACTTTACCGGGAGGTCGTTGCACATGACCACATCGACAGACCCGCCTTAGTGCTTCTCGCCGTCAAAGATGCGAGGTTGTGGGATGCGATGTCAACCTCTGCCGAAGAGATTATGCCTAGCTTAGGAAGGGTTGTTGGAACTCGTAGCTGTGACGCATGCTTTGCTTGATGACATTGAAGCACAACCTCTTGTTGCTGATGTCTCATGCAACCTTGTGGTGCTCGCACTAGCGCTCATCGAGCGCCCATAGTGACTTATCGAGAATCCATAGTGACTCCTTAGGGGCCATGTCCTCTTCATTGAAATTCAACATACTCAGCTAGCACTAGTACCACAATTAGTATGACCTGGCTGTAATCATAGAAGCCCTTGCTAATGTGTAGTGTTTTTTTTTACAGACACCCACTGACATGTGGGCCCAACATATTTTATTTTAGTATTTTTCTACTGGCACCATGTGATACGTGAGTCCCTTTTATGATCTATCTTTTATTATTATTTTTATTATTATTACTTCTAATATGTGCCACCTAAAAGTTATATGGGATAAAGACTAAGTCAACAAGCCGCATAGGTAGCGCTGACTTAGGCACCTAGACAGGTGATGCGACCGACTAGGGCTCAGGCTAGAAGGTAAGGAGGGGGCCATCCGTAGGCCGTTTATTCGACCGTATATTTATATGCTTAACTAATACGGCAGAGCGGCAGCAAGCTAATCAACCAAAAAAGAGAAATATGCTTGCACTTGTGGCTATACTAGATAGATCACTCGATGTATAATGTATATACATATACGTATACATAATACATGTTGGGCTGCCAGACTACTATCGACCAGTAGAAGCTATCTACCAATATGTACGATTAACATGAAGATGTCACGATTAATTTGCTGCATGTAATTAGCTCAAGCCAACAGAATATATCAATCCATGAATGCTGCATAAACATATGCATGCCGCACCCCTAAGTCAAATTAACCAACTAAGGAAAACCAAACTAATAAGCCAATACACGTGCAACACGAAATATATACAGTAATATACGTGTGCTTAACTCAAACGCAGGGGCGGATCCAGAACCAAATTGAATCTCTTTTTTTTTTCTTCAATTCCCCTACGTACGCTTCATTTTCTTTCTCTTTTTCCTCCTTCCTCTCTCCTATCAACGATGATCTCACGAAAATCGTATCTATCGGAATGATGCAAACAACTATTTTATGTACATCACACTTCCCGTTCATTTCTCCAACAAGAGTTGGATAAAGATAAAGATTTTCGTAGCACGCTTTTCAAACTGCTAAACGGTGCGTTTTGTGCAAAAACTTTCTATATGAAAGTTGTTCTAAAATATCATATTACTCTATTTTCCAAGTTTGTAATAATTAAAACTCAATCAATTATACGTTAATAACACCTCGTTTTACATAAAAAAAACTTAATCTTTATCTTCATCTTCAGGAGAAAAGAACACCACCTAAGATATAGAAAAATATTTAGTAATTTCTCTCCAAAACACAAGTAGCCTAAAAGGCCCATATCATTGAGTTCGCCTAGGGCCCACGAAACTATAGAACCGTCCTATAGGCGTCACGTCAGTTGAAACCGTCCTTAATAGCGTCAAGGAACTTGATTTGTACTGATTTTAGAATTTAAGGGACGCTTTGTACCTGATTTTATGGTTGAGAGACGCAAATAAAACGTGTACCATCATTTGAGATGAATAGTAGACTTTCTTCGATGTTGGCTGCATGGGACAGTACCACTAGGCCCAAATGCTGTGTGCCGAAATGATGCCAAGCCTAAGATGGCCCTCGAGATTAGAAGTACTGGGCCCTTCATGGGCTTAAGTTTCCCGTTTGGCCTACATTTATGAGATTGTTCCTCGACATGAAGGTGGACCAAATGGATGCAGATGCCTGCATGCTTGAGTGCTTCACGGAGGAGGACAAGCAGTGTGTTCCGCGAGTTCAAGGCCCAGACGGACAGGGCTGGATTATCCTCATCGATCGATCGATCGATCGATCTAGCTCTCGATGAATGAATCTCCGATGTACAAAAACATTATTGCATGTCGATTTACTAGAAAAAAAATACGAATATTAAAAAATAACCTTATATCAAATAAATAAAAGGAGCGAGACTTTAATCCAGGTCGGCTAGCCCACCACCTTATGTAGCTAGCTGAAAGACCTCTGGGCGTTTCTGCATGTCAATTGACCAGCACTCTGGTCGTCTATGATCGATCGATGATGGTGGAAAAACTAGCTATATATAGTTCTAAATTTTATGTACAGAACTCAGCTTCCAAGATCGAAATTAAGAATAATTTGACAGTAGACGATTATAAGGAGATATTTCGAGACCCAAACAAAAAAAGCTCGCGCATGATTTAGTTCATCTATTGCGTCGATCTGTACACTTTGATTCATAGGACTACATCGAACGATCTCAACTCAATAAAATTAATCGAGCGAAAGGAAGAATCGAACAAGTGTTCAATTCTCTCTGTGCTGTATGTTGGTAGCTAGCTAGTGATGAGGCCGGTGATCATGAATCAGAATTCGATCAGCAAGAAGGGTAGAGGGCCTGGAGGTGAGGCTGCAAGCAGGGCGAGTTCCTCCACGCTCTGGCGTGCAGCCGCAGCGTCTCCCGCGCCCGCTCCCGCGTCCTCTCCCCGCACTGCTCCGACTGCGCCACCACGCACAGCTTCTCCACCGCCCCCGTCTGCCCCATCTCCTGCACCACCGCCGCCGTCGCCGCGTGCCTCGCCACCGACCGCAGCACCCGCACCGCCTTCTCGCTCGCCACCTCCGACACCCTCAGCACCTTCCTCCCCACCACCGCCACGCCCGCGCCGTGCGACACCAGCGCCGCCCGCCCCTCCGCGCACCCGCACATCCGGTCCAGCGCCGCCAGGGCCAGCTCGCACCCGCGCCGCTCGACTGGCCCGTCCAGGAGCATGTCGACCAGCACCGCCACCGCGCCGGCGTCCACCGCCTTCACGCGGTTGCGGCCCCACGACGTCGTGCCGACCAGCACGTGCAGCGCCGCCCTCGTCGCCGGGCTCGATACCCTGTCGCGGAGCAGCTGCACCGCCTCACCGAACACCTCCTCCGGGAGGGACACCAGCCTGTTCGACGGCATGACCGCCGTCACGGCCTCCAGGAGCAGCGCCGCGTGCGCCCGGGACGTGGTGTTCGTCCGCTGCAGCGTGGCGACGAGCGCGTCGACGAGCTCCTCGTTCCTCTCGACGAGCCGCGCCAGGCACCGCTCCGAGAGCTCCAGCGAGCAGACGATCTCGAGGGCCTCGTCGCACGCGGCCTTGGCGTCTCGACACGACGCGACGACGACGGCGGCCAGAACATCCACCGCGCCGGGGACGGCGGCGAGGAGCTTCCTGTTACGCTCGCTCTCGGCGGCAACGTCCCTGAGCTCGCGCAGCGCGTCGAGGAGGGCAGCGGAGCTCGTGGCGGCGCGGAGGCGGGAGACGAGGTCGGCGACGCGGGCGCGGTCGGCGGGGGGCTTGGGGGTGGGGACGAGGTCGACGCCATGGTCGGCGTGGAGGGCGCACCACGACTGGATGAGGCGGCGCAGGGTGTGGTTGGGCGTGGGGTCGCAGTCGGGCGGCACGGGCTGCTTGGTGAGCGGGCAGGTGCCGGCGGTGAGGAGCCATCGCTCGATGCCGTCGCGGTCGTAGGTGATGCCGGTGGGGAGCGTCACCGGGTCGCGCATGATCTGCAGCGAGATGGGGCACACGAAGTAGGACGGCACCTCCACCTCCACCTCCACCTGCTGCTGCTCCTCCATTGCCGTCGGTTGCAATGCTGCTGCTAGCTCGTCGTCGTCGTCGTCTTCTTGGCTCTTGCTCCGGTGATGGTGAGCTGAGTAGTAGTTGTTGTATTGTATGTGGTGGAGATGGCAGCAATGGTGGATGGGAGATGGGGAGTACTGGAGGAAGAGATCGAATCCGAGTAGTTTTATGGAGTACGCGGGAGGAGGATGAGGTGGATGGATTCAAAGTCCACACGCATGAGCGAGAGCACGAGCATGAGCTGCCCGAATATTAAAGAATTCGGTCGGTCAAGGTAGCTAGCTAGCTCTTTGGTTGTTGCTAGCCTTCCATGAAGGTGACGCCTCAGTTGATTAATCTTACAACTTGATTCTCTCTTGTCACCGCCCCAAACTTTTTCTTTACTCCCTCCCTCTGGTTCTATACTAATTATCGTTTTGGATAAGATTGAGGTTAAACTTTTATAACTTTAACCATCAATAACTTTAAAAATATTTAGTTTAAAGAAACTAGAAAAACATATATAGATTTGTCTTTCAAAACACTATAATAAAAATAAACATGCATTTATTTATTGTATATATTATAATAAAAAATAAGCTCAAATGTATATCTTGTAGAACGTGTCATTGTCCAAAGCGTCAATTAAAATGAAACCGGAGGGAGTAATAGCACTAACTGATTTTTTTTTATTTTCAGAATCTTTTTCTTGTTTTTGTAAAAAAAAAACACTCCTCATGCCTCATTTTCAATACTAATAAATCCTTTGTCCAGGCCACTGTTGTTGACTAGCCATGCCATAACGAAGTATCGTATTGCCATAGACATATATTGGAGTTATCATATCATTGTCAAAAATATTTATAGTAACTTGAAAATATTTTGTTGGTTGATTTTGTAAATAAAATCTTCAGAAAACAAGAAAAAAAATCAAACATTATCTTCGATCCAAGTGATTTGCCTAAGCAGATAGTGCTTTTGTAGTAAATGAGATGAAGATCTCCATTCGTGAATAATATCAAGATTATAGTACTGCACATAATAGGCCACGAGCATTGCATGATACCCTTTTAAATTAAAAAAAAACTAGCTTGCACCAAATTATAAGATAAGTTTGTTTCAGTTCGTGCGCGCGCGATGCTAGAGGTGAAGCGAGTGAGATGAAGCAGAAAAGAGTTGACGAGGTGAGATAAAACAATTGGATTATCGAGAGAAAAATGGCCAGTGACGTGAGGTCTCCAACGCCTAGGAGGCCGCTGCTCCTCTATTACTTAATTTGCTTAATTTACAGTGGATTTCTCAATGTTTTGGCCTGCACCTCTTGTTGGAGACGTAAGATTTGTCTAGGTGAATTACTAGGCAGATATAAACGAGAAATTTGCCTAGGCGACCTCTAATGACCAGCAGGGCATCTTTGACCACACTTGTTAATTATGCAGCTCATCCCTCCAATTGTTTACAAGTACAGTTGGACTTGGAATTAAGGAAGGTTTGCATGTGGCAAGTAAAAGACTAAGCATTTGTTTGTTGTTTCTTCTTTTTTCTGATACAGTGTGCTCATTGTTTTCTTGCTCTAGGTGAACTGAACTGATAGATTATAATCTCCTCTACCGACTCCAGATCTGTCTGATCTGACCCAAACTATAGATCATTTCATTATCACGGGGCAGTTTATGGAATATAATTATAATTATTCGATACGGATGATGGCGGCTTGTCATCTGTAACGCTTGATTAAGGCGATGTTTTAGGCCTTCAGCACACTGTTTTTAGTGAATAATCAGACTCTTGTTAAGTTGTTATTCATTTTCATCTGAATTGAATGCGATACTTTAATTTACGTCCATGTATGCGGCTAGCTGAAACGTTAGGAGCAAAATTCAGAGAAAGAATAGCGTCAAATGAACAGGACATGATGCATTCCAAAGAGAAATCCAGGGTAAAGACTAGTGATGAGGACATGAGAAAGGCCAAAACTTTGGTAAACGGTAGGCCTCGGTCTGAGGTGTACAGTGCTGGATTTGCAATTAATCTGCGGCTAATCACTTAACTAATGGTCGCTAAGTTGCTAGTTTTGGTTGATTAATCCTGTGAATTTGACTTGCGATCGAGAATGAGACGAAATGCTGCGTGAGGTCGCTGTCTCTGTCAAACCGCCCGAACGTGAGTACACGCTAAGACAAACGGGAAAATGATAGAAATTTTGGAGCAACGAGGAGACTATACACGTAGATCGGTAGATGCATGGCTAGATGTAATCCTATTGATACTTCATCGATCGATGTGATGGCAATGGTTACTAGTATTAGCTAATTAAGCATCCTATGAGAAGAACTTTTGTTTCTTCCATTTGACTAGTTGCGCCATAGAAATTTCACCGGTATTTGCTACTTGTTTGCTTACGAATCTGACCAAGACTAACATTCGCTTACCACTGTGTTTGTCTGCAAGTGATTCATGTATATATCTTCAACAAGTTCAACAATCGTTTTCCAGATCGTTCCAAGAAATGTGCAGTGATATTCAGAGAGAATTTAAATTTGTGCTAACTGAATATTGGAGTATCTAACAAGAACATTAGGATGATATAGAGAATCCGTATTCTACACCACGTGATAACTGATAAGCAAGTAGAAGAATGGGTTCACCAATTAAGTCTAAAATCATGCGATTAATTATTAAGATGGAGCACGCATGCATAGTGCCGACATCGTCTTCTTGCAGCGAGAAAGAAGTGAACTTTCCTTTTGATCTTTCTTGATTTTGACTGAAAACGCGATATGGGGTGGTGTTGACGCCGACGAATGCACTGTTCTTCTCCTAATCTTCTTGCGACTGTCTGACTTTTATCAGTTAAACTAATCGTCACGTACATAGCTTATCTCTGACTAAATCGCTTCCCTTGTTCAGTTGTACTGGCTTAGCTAATAAATATAGTGGAATGCTTTTTTGAACGAAATATAGTGGAACGCTCATCAACACGTACGTTTGCGTGCGCGTAAATTAAGATTGATCGATCGGCCATACAATGTGCTGTGCTGTGCCCTGGAAGTATAAGGATGAAATTGTGTTCTGTCATTCAGAACTGTTGAATCTAAGGATATTCAGAACCGATGCGACTTTTGTTCTGGTATGCAGACATGTTGAATCAAAGCTGGATTTTGCAAATCTGACACGCATTGAAAAAAAAAACGGGTGGACTATTGCAGCGAATGTATGTATGAACAGTATCGGTTTGGAATTGGGATAGGTAGGTGGTGCTGGCACGGGATGGGGAGAGTCGGAAAATTAATGAGAACTTGGATGGCTCAGATCATACAACATGATCAGCGAATTGGATAGTTCGATATCGATCGGATTTCTCCTCTGATCTGCAGCGATCCGATTGGAATGATCAGGTAGACAAACCGGCGTGGTCCGCTCCGCTACTTGTGGTCGCATAAATTATGCATGTTTGGTTGTTGACGAATCGATCGAGCGAAACTGTTGCTGTCCATTCGCTGAAATCTCTGACCGATCCGGTTCATCCGTGAATTTGAAGGACCAATGTCTCCTCCTCGACTTCTTTTTCTTTTTTTTCTTTTGAAGTTTTTGGGGTTATCTATATAGGATTCGTATGATTTTTTAGACTTCCATCATACAGTGTTTCACCGAGTAGATCGAAAATATTTCACTGAATAGATCGAAAATGTTTCAATCTTTTTAAAAAGCTGTAATACAATCAAATCACCCCATGAAAACATTTTACTACAACGTATGAAATAACGCTTCTAAATATATTGAAACATGAAACAAATCCGAGTACATTGAGAAAAAGTCTATGGGATTCCCATGATTTTTTAGCTTCCATCATACACCAATCGGGCGCTGTTTCACCAAGTAGACCGAAAATGTTTCACCAAGTAGATCGAAAAAGTTTCAATCTTTTTAAAAACTGAAATACAATCAAATTACCTAATGAAACATTTTTCTATAATGCATGAAACAAAGATTCTAAATATATTGAACATGAATGATTTAGCTATGAAAAAACATTCGACAGCCATTTAGTCTTCCCGTTTTTTTTTTTTTTTTTTGGAAAGGAATACACCATCGATTTCATATGTTATTTATTTGGGCCAAGATGGTTGTAGATGCGAAGCCCATGTAAATTTACGCCGAAATAGACATTCGGTCCAATACAGTTGAGAAAGCCCGGACGAACTCTTTGCGGCCCACATATATTTCGGTCTAAACAGTTGTTGGGCCGGAACAGTAAGGCAACGTACGTGCTGCCAATATTACTGGACCATAGCCCACGTAACTGTTAGCGGGCCGGGCTTTAAACGAGCCAAGCCCAGACAAAGGTCGCGACTCGGCCTCTCGTATCCGGATGGAACCCTCCGCCGCCGACGCCGCCATCGCCCATCGCCGGCAGTTGGTGCTCGTCTCCCTCTAGCCGGGCCCTCGCAGATTAAGCCAGCGATAACGGCAACAGCCTAGGGTATTACTATTGCTACTTTTCTTGCAGTTCTTCCATTATGTTTCAAAACTTTCAACCAAACAGACTAGACATACGCGTGCTCTGCTCTCATCAATTTGGTAGTTCATCATTGTTTGTTACTAGTTGTTTATTTTCCTTTCCGAATCGGAAACGCTACTTACCGGTATTCCGTCTCGACGGGAAACCATTTTTGGTTCCAGCTATGCACCGATTCGCATCTATCTTATTTAAGACACTGTTGTTTTTGGGATTTTTTTTTTATTTCAGACAAAACTAAGGCAGGCTTGGGAAGGAAAGACAAGGCTGGCGTGGATGAAGGAATCGGCGAATCCTGCGTCAACAACGACAGCGCCGGCGCCGACGCATGTGGTCATTTTTTTCTTCCCATAGTGCACTCCAGGTTCTTCTTCTAGGGTTTGTGTGCATGTTTACGATTTATTCAGTGGCTGCTATTCCGATCAGTGATAACCAATAGCAGTTGGGATTGTCTTTGATTTTCTAGGGTTCAGAGTTAGTGGAGAAGGAACATAGTTAACTCCTTGGTAATGAGATATGTTGGGGCTTTTTTTGCGGAGGCTGATTTTGGCAGGATTAGGGAGAGAGAGGCTCTTTTAATATCACCTGATACCTTGCAAGTGTCACCTAATATATGGTAGGAATCGCCTTACCTGACAGGTATTACCTGATACTTCGCAAGTATCACCTGATATGTGGTAGGAATCGCCTGATACCTGACAGATTTCACCTGATACTTCGCAAGTATCTCCTGATACGTGGTAGGAATCGCCTGATACCTGACAGGTTTCACTTGATACTTCGCAAGTATCACCTGATACGTGATACGTGGTAGGAATTGCCTGACACCTGACATGTTTCATCTGATACTTTGCAAGTATCACCTGATACGTGGTAGGAATCGCCTATTACCTGACAGGTTTCACCTGATACTTCGTAAGTATCACCTCATACGCGGGAGAAATCACCTGATACCTAACATGTTTCACCTGATACTTCGCAAGTATCACATGATACATGGTAGGAATCGCCTGATATCTTATAGGTATCACCTGATACCTTGCAAATATCGTATCAGGACCTGATACCTAACCGGTATCATTCTGTCCCAACAGGATTCCGTTGTATAGTAGCCCCTGAATTGCAGGGTTTATTAAGACCGAGGATCTCAGGCTTGGTTGTCGTACTAATTCGGTTGTTACAGTACAAATCGATCGGACGAAAACTCGCATGATCCATTCGCCCAAATCATAACTTATGACTTGACTACAACAACACGAATATTAGGGAATGACCTAATATCAAATAATTAAAAGGGGTGAGGCTTAGAATCCAGATCGTCTAGCCCACCATCTTGTGAAGTTAGCTGGAAAACCCCTCGGTGTTTCTCCTGATTTGACTACAACGTCAAGTAAGCTCTTCTTTTTTTCTCTTTCAGGGGAAGCTCTAACTTTTCTAATGTACTTCAACATGACAATAAAATATATTCACCTGAATTTGATCATTGTACGGTTCATTTTACTTGAAAAATTTTAAGGTCACTGAGGCTTAGCACACGATCGGGTGAATTGAAGAAGGCGGCAAGGCATGGGCCATTTGATCAGGCAGGGCAGTAGTAGTAGCTTTAAACAAAGGGAAATCGTACGAGGTTTGGAGACATGCAAGCACGATCAATTGTCGCCCTGCACCTGTACGCACCATCCAAATTCTGAAATCTGAATGCTGCTGGGCTTGGCTTCCTTCCTCTTCTTCTCGATCTGTGGTAGTGCAGTGCACGATGGGCACTGCACTGCTGCAGCTACAAGCTCAAGCTGTGATTATATAAATACTTCATCTACCTTACCACAAGTCATTTCTCAAGTGACCCGTCACTTTTTCACCCCTCCCCCCTGCATCTCTCCTCTTCCGTCCATCGCAATTCACAAGTTCACAACCATACATCACATCCTCTTTATCTCCACTCGTTTGATTTGTGTAGCCCTAGTACACCTATAGTATACAGTATTAATGTTTTCCTTGTAGTACTGGCTGTTCTCTAGTCAAGCAAGGAAAAGCCAGCCCTGATGTACCCTACAGTGCTCCCTGCCTGCCGCCATTTGCACGTCCATATTTTTCTAGCGAAAACAAAGTAACGCACATGTACACTTATTTAAATTTGTTATCCTCGCCTATCACGGATTGTTTTTACTTCTTCCGTTTTTTAATAAATAACTCCATTGACTTTTGGATATTTGACTATTTCTCTTATTTTATTTTTTTATAAATGTATTAAGATATAAATCATGATTAAAATAATTTTTAGCGATGAAACAACTCACAACAAAATAAATGACAATTACGTAAATTTTTTAAATAGAACGAATAAATAAATGGTGTCCAAAAGTTCATAGCGTCATCTATTTTTCTATTAAAAATAGAGATAGTATTTAATAACTCGTTTGAAATGGATTCTTCATTGGATTTTTTTTGAACGAATCAACGGGCGCCAATTTCATTGAATATAGAAGGAGAACTTTACAAAGCGAAAGGAAAAAAAAAAAGGAGCTAGGACCTTTGGTCCGAGCTAACTGAAAGAAAGCCAGCTATTAAGACTTCTCGCTCCTGCTAAGGCCCAGAGTTTTGGTCTCTTCCTTGATCTTGGCTAAAAGGGAGGTAGCTAAAAGCTCCTTTTGTTGGAAGGTTCTGCGATTTCTTTCGTTCCATATCTCCCAAGCTCCTTCATTGGATTATTGACATGATTATCTACTCATTTATGGGGTAGATTAGATATTTTAGAAAATAAAGTCAATAAATTGTTTAGAACAATGGTTTAAGCAATGGAGTAGAAGGATTTTTTTTTTCGCCAAGATAACATACTTTTAGAGACGTGGAGCAAATAAGCTGATGAACGAAGTAGCTAAAAAGAATGAAAGAGCCAGGATAGATTTGATACTGGTGGTTCATTGACAATTTCTTGAATAAACTGTTTAGTATACGGCCTTACTGTGCTTGGGATGGCAATTTGCTTGGTGTATATGATGAAATCAAATCAAAGGTCCAAACAGTAAGGCAGCAATATGAATGAAGGTTGTAACATGACAAAATGCCTGAACAATCATTCTGCCAAATTTTTGCTGCACCAGACCTTCAGAAATCAGAACTGGTGCTTCCCTTTGCCCTTTCTCTGGGACTGACATTATCATTCAGCTAATGATAAATATACATAGTAGGCAAAACAAGGATGACGCATAAGCACTTTCCCTTTTCCTTTAACCAAAGAAGCAAAGCAAAGTAAAGATGACATAATAGTAACTGAAACCTCAACTGTTAGAGTTGTGGACCGAGGAATGTATAGTTAGAACCCCAAAAGAGAAAAATGTTAATGACAGAGACATGCAAAAACCATATGTCTGACAGGCCAATACATACATACATACATGCTGCTAGCTAGTTACTTACTATCATATGACAGACTCTGATCATGACCACGTTCTCCACAAGTGGCTAGGTTACCTTGAGTCTCTGCCATCATGGCTTGCTGATCAGCTCATCCCCATCACCATTCTCCGGTCCAATGGCGTTGTGCCGCTCCGACGGGCCGGACGGCGGGATCAGCTTGGCCCGCGGCAGGTAGCCGAAGAGCCTCCCCGACCTCATCATCGCCGTCGGCGCCGTGGAAGGCGTCCTGTTGATGTAGCTCGCCTGCATGGTTCTTGCACCGTCGACGCAGCTTGCGACGAATGTGGCGGCGAGGAGGAAGAGGAGCGCGATGGCTATGCATCTGCGCAGCTGAGCCATTGATTGATGATAGTATCTTTTTGATAGTTTGGGACTGCACAGTTTGAAAGGCTGATGCAGATGAGGTTGCAAGAGCTGGTTTGGGAAGGAATGGAAGGGGAAGTGCAGAGTATGCGTGAGCAAGATGACAATGGTGCCATATATATGCTGCAAGTCTACAGAGAGAGGAGGCGAAGGTGAGGGTGAAGTCGCCATACTCGTACGGCGGCTAGCTTGATGGGACGAGAGAGATGTGTGGTCTGGAACGTGAGGTAAAAATTCAGAAGAATGAGAAAGTAGTACCAAGCATGCGTGTGCAAGAATCTGGATAATCTGATCCTGGAGAGGATAAAAAGGGTGCTAGCTTATCGCAAGGAGTAGACTAATTAATTAGAGTAATTAAGTATGGCGTGAATGAAGTAAGCACTGCACGCGGAATCCTAACAGAATGTTGAACAGTTGAAAAGTGGGGAATTCATTGGTGAGCAGCTAGTCCTAAACAGGATATGTACTCCATGTACTGCTGTGTTGTGCTGTTCGATCAGCCTGCACACCTTTTGGGCCCTGCGTTTCAACCTGCAGGTACACCATTCGGATTAACTGTGTACAGCATTCGCTTGCTTTGTATCGGTACACCGGTTAAAATTACACAGTGGAATCAAGAATGAAATATCGGTAGTACTATAAACAAGCATTCAAGCATTCGTCATGATCAATCTTGAGAAGAAGAAAAACGTTGCCGAATTGTTCCTGTCGAAATGAAATCATTAGCTCCAGAGGGACCTTTTCGGTAGGAGTAGGACAAACCCTTCTTGACCGGATTCACCGACGTACCCCTGCTGAGCATTGTTGAACATCCCGTCTCGGTGCTGAAAGTCTGAAACAGCTGCTACTACTACTCGTAGTACTAGCTTTTGTGTTATGATGAGAGCAAGTCAGTACCTACTATAAGGTCAACTCTATTTTCTTCGGTTACACGACGGATTCACTATTCAGTGCCCCCTTGAATCACAGGAATAAAAAAACAGAGGAATATGATAAACATAGGATTTTAACATGAATGCAAGTGTAAAACAGAGGATCGTAAAACACAGAAAAAATATAGGAATGCTTGTTTGATTGGGCCACAGGAAAAACATAGGAATTTATGGAGAGATAAAGACTCAAAGTATTCTTTCCATGAGGTTCTAACTCATGTTAAATTTCCTCCAAAATTTACATGAGAAGAGATATTCCATAGGAATTTCATAGGATTTCATATGATCCATTCCTTTGATTCAAAGGGGTATACAGAAAAAAATTCATATATGAATAAAATCCTTTAAAATTTCTATAAATTTACTTTGAATCAAAGTGGCCCTCAGCGAGGGCAAGTGTGTCGTACTACAATCGATGCTGCCCGCAATCGGAAAAAGAAATATTACTCGTGCTGTTTTGGTTGCCAAAGAGTATTTGCAGTAGCAGTAGAACTGACAACTGATAGGTCATGAAATGCAATGCAGGTACCTTCAATTATTTTTATGTGTTTGATTTGTAGTACCATCGTGGTGGCGAGTGTTGTGTGCCAGGCAGCTTGGAGTGATTTGGTGAGTGAAAAACTGTCTTTAATTGGTGAGAATTCAGCAGGGACGGGATAGTATATGGCCACAATCTTTATTTCCTTTTGAGACGACGTGACCTGCCGCTGCAATGCAAGCCTCCAAGTGAATAATACTATCAGCCAGTACTGTGCAAGTGCGTGTCATGAGTCGGGTAGGTAGTGTGGATTTCTGGAGTAATTGTCAGATCAGTTCCAATCGATCGATGGGACTTCCTCCCTTTAAATTTCCAGTCTGCCTCTACCTCACCATGGGTAGAGGCACTACTAGGCAGGAGTAGTACGAGCTTTGTGCTGATTGGAGTGAAATCTTTGTGCTTGGCTGCGTATAGGTCGATCGGTCTGGGGGCCAGGTGTGAGGCGATGTTTCACGAGGATGGAGTGCCAACGGCGATGGATGACAAGGAAGAAAAAGGCCAATCGATTGACTGTTGCTCAATGTTTCCGTGCCGTGCCGACGGTTCAGTTCATTTTGGCTGCTGGGCTGGCAGTCAGGGGACTGGACTGGCAGAATAGGCAGGCTTGCCCTGGAATGTTGGGATGGAACCTGCACTGCACCTTTGGGTTCATTTCTTGGGGAGAGGACGACTTGCTTGCTGCTGTGCTATGCATCTCCTCGAAACCTCGATCGGCTGTCGTCGTCGTTGCCAGCAAACAAGATCAGTGCGGTGGCCGGCGGCCAGTGGACATTCTGCACCGGTGTGGACAGAGAACGACGACTGAGCAAGCATTTCATTTCATTTCAGAGAAAGGAGCCTTGCCATTAGGCTGCCTGCTTGGCTGACTGATGCACAGCAATAGTCAAGCTCAGTTTTCTCTGCTAGTGAAACAAGCTACTAGCAGGTGCGTTCCTTCCATCACCAGCCATCGAATAGAATCGAATTTTCGGTGAAGTCCAGCACTGCAGATAACCAATCTTTATGAATCAATCTAGTTCTACTACTAGTATATAGCTGCAGGATCTATCCAATTAAGGAATCGAGCTTGCGTCGTCATCCTTACCTGATCCATAATCTACTTTACGGGAGCATATATATAGGCCTTTCTGTTTTGGATGATGAAAATTGACATCGCATCGCATGCATACTTGTATAGCTGCTCTCATCAGTCTGAGATGGAGCCGCGTCACCCTTTCGCCGACCTCTCTTGCTAAAAGGCAAATTCCAACCTTATCAGATTACATTTCCACGACGCCAAACTTCACTTGCAATTAACACCAAATGCATCTACACATTTATTGTGGTGCCATTGCTTAATTGAATTCCTCCCTTCTTTGTGATATTCACGTCCACAAACGGAATCCTTGGGCAGTGCATTAGTACCAACTAGAACCGACATTTCGGCGCTTCAGAGTTCAGACAAAAGCAGCATTTCATGATAATCTTTCAGTTCCTCATACTCATTTCAGACGTATGGTAGCACACATTTGAGATCAAGAAACCCATCGTCCACTTCCAAGAGCATTCCGTTTCATTCATGTAAATGAAGGAGCTTTTGCTCAAGACTCGTCCACTAACTCCCACGAATATACATACAGACATACACAGCCTCGTATCATGGTCAACAGAGCAACCTCACTGCACTGTATTACCCTATTCATACGACACATCATCAATTCTGATTCCTTCTATACAACAATAGTACAGGAGAAGATAGTCAGGAAGAGAGCATCATCAAATACATTTAGGCGAGGGAAAAAAAGATCTCTTCTGAGATCTGAATCAGTTTGAGAATTTAGCTTCTAGCTGGTATTATCACACTACGCTGTCATCACTGAAGAAATCCGATCAGTTCCCCGCACGTTGTATTTGTCGTACACTTTTTCACGGTTGTCATTCCACCATGATTCCGCCTGATGCTCTCCAAATCTTCTCCGGCTGTAAACAATTCGACCTCCATGTCAGGCTACTCTTATTCAGGGCACGCATTTCACAAGTTAGAGCTTAGAGAAAACAAAATAAAATATGTTCTTTAGGAGTAGCGAATCTTGGTTACCTGAACCGCACTCTTTTCAGCTCCTTGGTTCCATCACGAAGAGAAACTAGTGTTAAGTATACCCCTGGTTCGTATTGTTCTATCCATTCAGCTTCGACTTGGTTGCTGGGTGAGCTAGAACCTCTCATGTTGAAACCATGGAGGTTTATTTGGAACCTTTCTGTTTCCCGCCGATCATGATCTTCTGTTCTTGGGCGATACCCCGTCATCCCACCATTGGTCATCTGCTGCGCAACTGGGAACTCCTTAGTGTTGCCATTGTTTTCATGCCTGCTGTCATGTGGAACCATCGTGTTACCATTGGGTTCACTTATTTGATGGGCTTGAGCAAGGAACCCATTAAACCGGGCCGATGCAACAGAAGTAGGTGTTTGTGGGTACTGGAAGCTGCCTGGCTCATATCTCTTTTGGTTTTCTCTCCCTGTATCAGGAGAAACTGCACCACCAGGTAGATAAGGCTGCCGTGTTTGCTTCGTGTCACATGATGCTGGAGGAAGCCTTTCAGCCATTTCTTTTAGCTGCAAAAATGGGGAGTGTTTTTAATTTCTATATTATCCAGTTGGGGATATAACAAGTCCAGAACATGCAACTATCTATATGTGATTTATATAATTATCTATATGCAATTATCTACAAGCACAGTTGTCACTGTTCCACTGAAGAAAGCACAGCTAGGCAGTAGCAGTAGAAAAAGAACAAATCAGGTTTACCTTGGTTTATTCACCCCTAGTATCTATGACTACTAGCAAGGTGCAACTAGGATCAACAATGAGATGAGCAGAAACATCCATATCAACTGAATATGCAATCATTTTATAGGGGCTGAATGCACCTCCAAGCACGTGTGGGTGCATGGAGCAAAAGGCACATATAAGAGACAAGGTTGCTGTTGATAAGAACTGAAATTAGTGCCATTTTAACTGTCCATGTCACAAATTAAGCTTACCAACGTTTTGTTTCAATGAATGAGCAATGCAAAAATAAAAGTAAAAATAAGGTAAGTGAAGAAACTGGCAGATAATATGCAGCTAGAGCCAATTTAACATTAAGACGTGCAATAATAAATTCGGAAAATCACCTGTGCTGTTAGTGATTTAATAACATCCTTTGCAGCCTTCGATTTGGATGCTTCTTCAGAGGCCAGGGTCATGGCCTCATGAGCTTTTGCCTCTGATTTCTGCAAATCTGCATCTTGCTGTTCACGTTGCTGCCTCAAGCTGTTAACCTGCATAATAGATAAGCATAAGGACGCATTCCCCGGATATTTTAGTTATTACCACAAAAAATTAGAATATAGAATACCTCTTCTTTTAGTTTTTGAACCTCTTGCTTCAGAAGTTCATTTGCATCTCTAAGAATATCAAAGCTTTCTGAGGACAAGGAACTAGAAGAATTCAGATTTGGCAGCCTCAACAAAGGTGAACTATATGTGGAGTCATTAGGTTGCTGGTCAGCAGCCCCAATGAAAGGGATGTCCTTCAGCTGCAAAATCGCAGGGAACTGTGGTGGATAGTCATACTTCTTTGTCTGCTTTGCTGCCTTCACATCCAAGTTCTTGATCATATCTGAGCTATTAGCGGATGCAACTCTGTTTCCCTTTGAGTCCATTTTATCAGCCTTGGAATCACCTGGTATGCGAGGCGTATTGTTCTTGTTATGACCGATTCCAGAATCCAAAACTTTACTTAGTTTCAGGTAACATGAATCACATACGCGATATGGCTTTCCAGGATTAGGGGACAATGCTGCTCTTAGAGCCTTT